ATTTCCAAATCCCTCTTACTAGCTCTACACCATGTTTAACGAATGTAAACAGAGTTGCTCGGCTTTTTAGATCAGACATGGCTGCCGCGGTGTGTTGATGTCCGTACGTTGTGTTCAATAGTGTCACGTAATTTAGTGGGTCAACTCTGTTTATTTCGTTGCATGCCGATCACAGCCGAGGCGACTTTAATGCGGGCTCCTTGCCGAGTCGTTTGACATAGGTATACATGCATTAGTAAGCTGTTCCCACTGCTACTAAAACAGATTATTCACTGGTTTAAACTTGTTTTTCAGCCAGTGGAAAAGGGGTATATCTGTCCGTCTGTCTGTCCGTCCGGCAAGTCTGGTGAAATAAAAGATTGGTTTAAGCCAGCAGATGTATAATTACTTTGAGAATGTCTTCATACTACCGGACACAGACTGCAGTCGGCTAACTTGAAAAATTCATAACTGAGTTGTTCACAGTTTGAAAAGCAGTGATCAAACCAAAGGTGGATCCTTTGATGATTCACATATCTTTGGCCTTTAGGTTGACTCGTACGCATTCCCCCAGAACTGATGTCCTCATTTCCTTTCACTAATGTATTTTAATGAAATCAATTCCACCAAAGCAGTACAGGAAAAAGTTGGCCAATTTTTGGTTAAAGAAATGAAATTGAAAGGAACAAGGTGATAAATGACATAATAGGAGGTACATTTACATCAGTGGTAATCCAATTAAAATCTTTCATGTTCCTACTTGTTTCCTAACTGTTTTAGTTTGGTGCTCCTACAGCAGTGCATTAGCTCATCCATTCCCTGTATTACAAAATGGAGAACGTAACACTCCAATGTATTATTACCTATCCCCAGGGGGGGCTGGATTTGTTCGCACCTTGATCCTGTGTCATCAGCATCATCACTCATTTTAAGGGTTAATGTGGTTTTGGCTATAATTTGTGAACTTGTACTAAGGAACAAATGACCACGGTCTGCACAAGTGTACATAAACAGGTTAAAGTGGCTGAGGATTAACATTGCCTCTGCAGGGATTCAGTTTGATGATGCAAATGAAATTCATAACCACCTGAAGAAAAACAATCTGCTTCTCTCATGTCAGTGAAGTGGAACATGAGTCATCTGTCTTCTCTATACGGAGCAGATGGAAGCACGCAAGTGCCAGACCTGACTACTATGCAGTTGTATAAAGAGAAGGGGAAAAAACGGCAGAAATTTTTTTAAAGTTCCACTGTGTTTTTCTGTGCCATAAATGTTTAGCTTCATGTACATACTCCATAAAAAAAAAAGATAATTTTGGGTTACTTCCATAATATGTTATGGTAAAATGGTTGAGCACACTAAAAATCAACATATATTCATAATCTAAGTCACCAAACCTTTATTCTAAAGAAATACGGAATGAGCCGATAGAGGGAAGGATAATAAAGGAATCATAACTCTGATTGCTGAATATCAGGGTTTTTCTGATTGTGGGGGCAATGGAGATTTTAAAGGAAGAGAAGAGGTGATTAAGAAAATAGATAGTTAATTTAACGTTTGGCAAACATTGCTAGCCAGCATCTGCAGCTGTCTGTGAAAACAGTTCATCTGCCTCTTCAAAGAAGCCCTGCAGGTAGGCCTACTCATCCCTTTCACATCTACATACTTGTGTTAATGTTTTGTTTCTCGATGCATTTACAATCCATGTTTTAAGAACTTACAGCAGTTATATAAAAAAAACAAAAAAAAAACATTATTTCAGTTAAGCAGGCAGACTGACAGAGCGAGAGGGGTGATAGTTGCTAATTGTCATGGTTTTCGGATGTCCAGCCCACATGCAGACACAGACGGGAAAACAAGGAGCAGTTTAAGATGTTTATTAGACTACACGCAAATAAACACGGTTTGGAACATCAGTGTTCGGGGTTCTGCGGGAGGAAAGAGGAAACTGATTGAGACTAGAAAAAGGTAAAGGAACCTGCACTGTTGTTGCTCTGCTTACCGCCATACCACCTTACCGGTACGGATAACCTATCTGGGGAGGGTGAGTGGAGGAAAGGGTTCTGTAACTCACAGCTTCCCGGTGGGAAGAGGGGGCTGAGTGACAGGTGGAACTTAGGCACGGGCCCAAGCCGCACCGCAGCGGAGGCAAGTTTGAGGAGCAGCTGAAGGAACCAATGTGAATCCAGGAAAGGGGTCTCTTATCTGGCTTGGTAGCTTCAAAAGGGCTCGAGGGTAATTGGAGCTGCAGGGATTCAGAGACCAGTCCTCAGAGCACGGAGACAGGCGGATGAGCGATCCAGAGCTCAACAAACTGAGGGAGACAGAAGACTGGTTAGAATCAGGAATCCAAGACGTCAGTTTTCAGAGATCTGTCGACAGGACAGAGGCCTAGATGGACCACAACAGTTTAACACTCTGGCGTTCTTTAGCTGACTGAACACTCCTCTTAAGCTCAACAGAGCAGCCTCATCGAGCCACAGGAGCGGGGCCACGCCCACTTGTCGACAAGAACCACCTGTGGAAGAGAATAAGCAGAACACGGAACCCTGACAATAACCTATTGGAAGACGCACAATTGGAAGTTCAAAAACCTATAGAAAACAAATAAATGAAGCAATACCAAAAATACCTTACATATTGAAAGTACATATTATTCCCTATTGGCTCTGGTAAGTGAATACATTTAGCTTCATGCTGTAAAAGGATGGGGCACTGATTGTTCTGCAGTAGGCCTGAGTTCATTTATGATATGTAGAAAATGTAATTTATATATTCATAGGCAAGTAATGCATGAGAGAATAACAGGTACTGGAGGAAATGTAAGCTGAAATGTGAGCTCATAAAAAAAAAAGAAAAAAGGCATAAATGTTCAAAATGTGTAAAGATGTTTTTTTATAATAGGGACAATAAAGTATACAAAAAAAAACTTCTTGACACTAATAATAGCAATAATTTTGTTCAAGGTGAGCTTATACTCCCAATAAAATAAATTTTTTCTATGTTAATAGTCCTCAAATCTTTTTTCTATGTTTCACATCCCCACTTTCGTATGACAGGATACATTTTTTTCATGTAATCTTATAAATGTACACTGAATTTAATTATGCGTTTATATTGTTTTTCAAACAGTACTCTAAATGTTTATGCTTCTTTGTACAGTCATTCACTGTACTTCCATCTACAGTAGTTGTACTAGCTGTGTTTTATTAGCTTAAAGCAGTGCTCTAACATATACACAGGGGACAAGTCTAACACAGGCTTACACATGAAAATGTCAGCTATTAATTGCTAATCGCTTTCAAAGAGTTATTTGCTGCATTCGTTCTTTTTGGTGTATTATTAATTCTCACCGAAAATTAAGATTAAGTCGACAACTAAAGAAAATTAAGTAATGCTATGCTCCCATTTCAGCTAAATAACGTTAACCTGTTACTATTTATAATATTAGATTTAGGCATAAGTTTGAAATCTTGATTACAAATATTTATGAGCATATGAAAATTACTTTACAGTGGATACATAAATGCTCTGGGATGAAGAAAATAACCACTGCTGCAGAAAGCGCCACAAGATAAGCTCATATTTAAGCTCGACAGTGGCTCATTAGCTCAAGTTGTAATAAATGCCTTGCTTTAAACACACAGAGCTTGTCTTAATTCTGCTCAGGCTCTGCAGGAAAATCCCAAAGCCACTTAATGGACCAAGAATTTAACAACAAAATATTAACAAAATTATAAAACTGAAAAAGAGCTGTGTCAAATATTAAAGGTGGAAAAAAAAAACTGGGATGTGTGTTTTTAAATTGCCTTTTAATTATCCGGATTAAAGATATATTTGGAGTTGGGTATTTTAATACGGTAGTGCTCACATAAATCCTCATGCAATGTCTTCATAAAATCACATTTTAAACTTTAGTGCTTAGTGTGATTCTGCAATAGACCAACACACACATTTTCTATTGGAAAGGAAATAAAATTAAGAACATTTACTAAATATATTTTTCAATTTTTAGCTGCACTTCTGTATTAGTTAATAGAAAAACAAAAATATAATTCAACTGAATCCTAAAATCCTAATTTGAAGAGCCTAAACCATTACAGCTTTTTTCTTCTGTAATGTATAAGACTTTTAGAAGGATATGATTCATATATGCATAACAACATAAAACCACCATGTTTTCCTCTATAAAGAGAGATGCTGCCTGTTCTAGAGAGCTCTTTTTGTGTTGGAAAGGTGGTTTATAGATCTAATGATCTATTTGAAAAATATTTAAAGGTTGGTTAGATTTATTTATGTTTTATAGTTAGATGATTTTCTTTTGTTTTTCTGCACACCCCTTACGAGGAAATATGACTTCAGACAATGTCGACCAAAGTCACTATGATCAACCTAATATTTAAATCTGGTATCAGGTTTAACAGTCCCATGTTCCCACATAATCAGAACTTTTTGAGTTGACCACTTTTCTTTGTTATTTTACAAGTTAAGGTCAAATAGTTTTCATTTCTGTTGAAGTAGAGTCAGTTATTGTTGTTATTGTTGGTAGCAGTAGCAGGAATAAAAGTGACTGTGGTGGTAGCAGCAGCAGCAGTTGCAGCAGCAGTTGCAGCAATAATATTCATTTACTTTCCACACCCACTTCATCCCCTTCAGGGCCACAGGGGATTGGAGCCTTTCCTGGTATCATCTGGTGAGAGGCGGAGCACACCCTGGACAGGTTGCAAGTCTATCAAAGAGCCAGCTGGGAGACTACTGAGAAAAAGAGCCAAACTCTCTCCCACACACACACGCACACATCGACTCCTTGAGTCAGTTTAGATAGACTTACCAATTAACCTAACATGCACCCTGTTCGGACAGTGGGTGTGCCCAAAGATAAGTCCCAGTCATGTGGGGAAAGTACAAACTCCAGAGAGAAGTCCCATCTGACATACAGGAAGCCTTTAATGAAGATTTTCAGCATTCCACTATTTGTCACTTTAAAGTGTTATTAATAAGTCGTTGGAGGTTGGCTAAGATAAGTCAGCGACTTTAGGTGTAAATTGCTGCTGTTAGATTTTTATTTTAGTCTCATCAAGTTTTAGCTGTGCAGTGTGGCAGTGGTTAGGATGTATCTCGCTTTAAATGCATGGAGTTCACAGGTTCTCCAGTGCTTCTTTTTAATGAGTGGGTTCTCCCTGGGTACCCAGGCTTTCTCCCACTGAACATTAGTTTTTTTTAGTTGACAGCATCTGTTTTGTTCAGGGTGCACACCACCTGTCTGCTTGTGACCATTGGACATTGGCACCTGCCCCACTTCATAACCCTGCAAGGTCAAGCCGGCATAGACTAAGAATGGAAGTTGATTTGGTTTCTTTGATCATTGCTCCCTCATAGCACACAGTAGCCGAATGAATTGAAATGGAGAAAACAGAAATACAGACTCCCTTTATTATCTCTGCTTCAGTGAAAACAAGCCTGTATAGGAAGTTTCATAAACCTCCATTAACCCAGCTAGCGACTCTCCAACGTGTTCACATTTATCACCATTACTATGTGGCCTTGATGATTGTCTAGTACTAGCTGTAACTGTCTGCATTGCGAAAATGCTGTTTTTACATCTTTTTCTTTACATGATTACTATAGTTTGAGGATGATGGCAGTGCAATAAATGCAGTTTTCCAGCGTGGCCCACAATAAAAAGCCACAGTAGAGACACTTCAGGACTCTAAACAAAATGTAAAGCAGTGGAGGTATATATTAGTAGGTAGTAATATTTGTAACATTTTGGAGGTATTTATCACTCTCCCTAATTATGTGCTCAACATTATTATTTGGAGGAAAAAATTAAAAAGGTCAAGAGTTGTTACAGACTTTTGCACTTCCTGGTGACAGTTTGAAATGACACCATTGTTTTTATACACATGGGAGAAAATCAGACGCGCGGCAATCTGCTGCTGCGATGCACATTTTAGCTTAGAGGTGTAATGTCAACTAGGGTAAAAATTACATAAATGCTGAAGTTGTTTCAAACAAAAAGGCAACCCCGATAGCAACATTGCTTAGTTTGACTCGGAGAGGTTCAGAGGCTAAATCCCCCAGAACACCATGGGGGATCTGAATCAGAGATCAGTGGAATTATTGAAAACTTTATCCGATGTGTTTCATATCGATCAGGTGTCTATTGCGATGTAGTGTGACCGAGACAGTGGTCTGCTGCTGTCTCAGTGTTCCTCTCCTCGAAGTCTCTAATGGAAAAGTGAAAAAAAGAAGTCTTTATGCATCTTCTTAACACGAAACTGCTGAATGACCATCATTATCCTCACTAGTCAAAAATGACAATATCAAACCTCCCATTTTACTCTTCTCTAGCTTTCTTCATTGTATTTATTTTTATATCTGTCCCGTTAGCAACTCAGTTGCTCAAAATCCCACCCAAGGTCACGCATGTCTCCACACACAGGAAAAGACTCACAAACACTATCTTCCAGCTGGAAGAAGTTTGAGTGGCGGCTTGATGGAATGACGGTTTCTGATTGTGGCGATAATGGAATCCTCGTGTCATTGCAGATAGTGCCCCAGGAAATGGCAGAGAATTGCTTCTGGATCAAAGTCAAAGAAGAGAAGTTTGAAAACCCTGACCTATTTGCTCAGCTCTCCCTCTACTTCTCTTCACACACTAAAGGTAAGAGGTGTCATCTCTCTCCACCGCACCCTTAATTAATCTTCTCACACATGCTTCATGTGGCCTCTAAGGTGATTGTTGCTAAGGTATTAGGGTACGTTGTTTTTTTTTTCTTTTCCCTCCGACATACTAATTATCCTAAATCAAAGCATTTATTTCTAAAATCTGCATGCTTTGAGTTCAAATACTTTTTTTCATGTCACACATCACATTTAGTGTGCGTTTCCTTTAAAGAAAGCATAAATAGTCAGTGAACTTCACGTTGCATTCAATCTTTGTGTCCATTGAGCTGTTACAGATCTGTGTTTTTCTTTTGTTTTGAGCACAAACTTGAACTTTTACATGTGGCAGCTATGCTTGATTTGCTTCTCGCCTTTTCCAGCCCAGTAGGCCAATCTTCTATCAGGGTGGATGTGAGGCTTTGAAGGAAGCTCTGGGAGTTTACTTGTCGCAGCTAGTTTGTTTCTCAGATACACAATGAGGAATCTAACTTGCTTATGGGTAACAGTTGCAGTGCTGGGATTTTCTTGCTGTTTTTTCTAGTGGAAGATGGTGTTTGAGAGCACTTGATATATCCCCCCATGACAATTTGATTGTTTTCCACTGCTTTGACAGTATGTACACCCCTCTAATTCTAGCAGCAGTGGGGGTACGGGAGGGAGTCAGCCCTGTCAAGCACAGAAGAGTCAAATCTGTGCTCTATCAGCATGTGTGGACATAACTCCGCAGAACCCTGCACGTTTTTTTTCCTCATACCCAGCTTTTGTTTGGACACTATTCAGCCTGCCAGCAGTTCCTTGCTTTACCTCTTTCACAGCCTCAAGGTCCAAAAATTAGACTCTTTGTACTGTGAGATGAACAGCAATTTTCTCTGGGCTGCCGCAAGGTGATTTTCCAAAGTTATACAGATGGAAAGAGGATATGGCTTGGAAAGAACAGTTGTTGCAAAGTTTAATGAAGTGGAAAGGCCAGTCATTACGTTTGACTCTCCTCACATGCTGCATAAAC